AATTACAGCTGGTGCCCCACAGGGAAGTGTTCTAGGCCCTCTTCTCTTTCTCATATACATAAATGACCTACCAAATGCATCGCAACTACTCAAACCCACACTATTTGCAGATGACACTACATACGTCTTCTCTCACCCGAGCCCAGTCACGCTAGCCAATACTGTAAATACCGAATTACAGAAAATATCTACCTGGATGAGTACTAACAAACTTACTCAAAACATTGACAAAACCTACTTCATTCAGTTTGGTAACAGAGCTACAGACGTCCCTCTTAACATAATGATAAACGGATCACCTATCACGAAACTCACAGAGGGAAAATTCTTAGGAATTCACCTTGATAATAGACTCAAATTTCAAACACATATACAACTATTTTCCCCCAAAAAATTCCAAGACAGTAGGCATACTATGTTCCACAGTCAGCCCTCCTGGCCCTATATCACTCACTTATTTACCCCTATCTCACCTATGGAATTTGTGCATGGGGCTCAACAACAATAAACCATCTTAGACCATTAACTACCCAACAAAAGGCTGCAGTCAGAATGATAACAAATTCCCACTACAGGCAGCACACTCCACCAATATTCAAAACTCTAAACCTACTCACCTTACAAAACATCCATACTTATTACTGCACCTACTACATACATAGAACACTTAACTCTGATATAAACCCTCCCCTCAAACGTCTCCTTACCAACCTCAACAGAACACATGACCATAACACAAGGCACAGATCACTCTTTCATGTTCCTCGAGTCCATCTCACGCTATGCAAAAACTCAATGCACATAAAAGGCCCTAAAATCTGGAATTCATTACCTGTGAATATAAAAGAAACACTGTCTGTTTATAAATTCAAGTATCTTCTCAAAAATCACTTACTCACCCACAACTAAATAAATACTGAATAATTGTATCTCACAAATTGTATCTTGTAAATGTTTCTCATTATTGTATCTCAAAAATGTCTAACCTGTGACCTAATCGAACTTTATTTTTTAATTACATTGCCTAACAGAATACTCCATTCTACTGAATAATCAGCAACACAGTAAATGACCATATGACCTGTCTTTGTAACACTCATTTGTACTAAATTGTTATCTGTTTACAATAATGTTTTTACCACTGAATATATCATTTCTTAGTTAATCTTAGGTTAATTTTAAGCCTGCCCATAATGTTTTTCATACAAGGGGCTTTGGCATGTTACTCTGTAATAACTGTATTCCTTTGTACTTCACTGTATCATGTACAAATAAATAAATAAATAAATAAATTGCGGTAGCAGGGGTCGATGCATAGCTTCTGGCCCCGCCTCTTCACTGGTCGCTACTAGTGTGTGTGTGTGTGTGTGTGTGTGTGTGTGTGTGTGTGTGTGTGTGTACTCACCTAATTGTGATTGCAGGGGTCGAGACAGTTCCTGGTACCGCCTCTTCACTGATCGCTACCTGGTCCTCTCTTTCTCTGCTTCCTGAGCGTTGTCATACCTCGTCTTAAAGCTATGTATGGTTCCTGCCTCCACTATCAATTGCTAGGCTATTCCACTTCCTGACGACTCTGTGACTGAAGAAGTACTTCCTAACATCCCTGTGACTCTTCTAAGTCTTCAGCTTTCAATTGTAACCCCTTGTTTCTGTGTCCCCTCTCTGGAACATCCTGTCTCTGTCCACCTTGTCTATTCCACGCAGTATTTTGTATGTTGTTATCATGTTTTCCCTGACCCTCTTGTCCTCCAGTGTCGTCAGTCCGATTTCCCTCAGCCTTTCTTCGTAGGACATTCCCCTGAGCTCTGGAACTAGCCTTGTTGCAAATCTTTGTTTTTTCTCTAATTTCTTGAAGTGCTTGACCAGGTGTGGGTTCCAAACTGGTGTTGCATACTCCATTATGGGCCTGACGTACAGAGTATACAGTGTTTTGAACGATTCCATACTAAGGTATCGGAACGCTATTCTCATGTTTGCCAGGCGCCCATATGCTGTAGCAGTGATTTGATTGATGTGTGCCTCCGGAGACGTGCTCGGTGTTATGGTCACCCCAAGACCTTTCTCCTTGGGTGAGGTTTGCAACCTTTGTCCACCTAGCCTATATACTCTGTCTGCGGTCTTCTTTGCCCTTCCCCAATCTTCATGATTTTGCATTTGGCAGGGTTGAATTCGAGAAGCCAGTGTGTGTGTACTCACCTAGTTGTACTCACTTAGTTGAGGTTGCAGGGGTCGAGTCCAAGCTCCCGGCCCCGCCTCTTCACTGGTCGCTACTAGGTCACTCTCCCTGAACCGTGAGCTTTATCATACCTCTGCTTAAAGCTATGCATGGATCCTGCCTCCACTACATCGCTTCCCAAACTATTCCACTTACTGACTACTCTGTGGCTGAAGAAATACTTCCTAACATCCCTGTGATTCATCTGAGTCTTCAACTTCCAACTGTGTCCTCTTGTTGCTGTGTCCCATCTCTGGAATATCCTGTCTTTGTCCACCTTGTCAATTCCTCTCAGTATTTTGCATGTCGTTATCATGTCCCCCCTATCTCTCCTCTCCTCCAGTTTCGTCAGGCTGATTTCCCTTAACCTCTCCTCGTAGGACATACCTCTTAGCTCTGGAACTAGTCTTGTTGCAAACCTTTGCACCTTCTCTAGTTTCTCTACGTGCTTGGCTGGGTGTGGGTTCCAAACTGGTGCCGCATACTCCAATATGGGCCTAACGTACACGGTGTACAGGGTCCTGAACGATTCCTTATTAAGATGTCCGAATGCTGTTCTGAGGTTTGCTAGGCGCCCATATGCTGCAGCAGTTATTTGGTTGATGTGCGCCTCAGGAGATGTGCCTGGTGTTACACTCACCCCAAGATCTTTTTCCATGAGTGAGGTTTATAGTCTCTGGCCCCCTAGACTGTACTCCGTCTGCGGTCTTCTTTGCCCTTCCCCAGTCTTCATGACTTTGCACTTGGTGGAGTTGAATTCCAGGAGCCAATTGCTGGACCAGGTCTGCAGCCTGTCCAGATCCCTTTGTAGTTCTGCCTGGTCTTCGATCGAACGAATTCTTCTCATCAACTTCAAGTCATCTGCAAACAGGGACACTTCGCAGTCTATTCCTTCCGTCATGTCGTTCACAAATACCAGAAACAGCACTGGTCCTAGGACTGACCCCTGTGGGACCCCGCTGGTCACAGGTGCCCACTCTGACACCTCGCCACTTACCATGACTCGCTGCTCTCTTCCTGACAAGTATTCCCTGATCCATTGTAGTGCCTTCCCTGTTATACCTGCTTGGTCCTCCAGTTTTTGCTCTAATCTCTTGTGTGGAACTGTGTCAAACGCCTTCTTGCAGTCCAAGAAAATGCAATCCACCCACCCTTCTCTCTCTTGTCTTACTGCTGTCACCATGTCATAGAACTCCAGTAGGTTTGTGACACAGGATTTCCCGTCCCTGAAACCATGTTGGCCATTGTTGACGAGATCATTCCTTTCTAGGTGTTCCACCACTCTTCTCCAGATAATCTTCTCCATGACTTTCCATCCTATACATGTCAGTGACACTGGTCTGTAGTTTAGTGCTTCATGTCTGTCTCCTTTTTTAAAGATTATGACTATATTTGCTGTCTTCCATGCCTCAGGCAATCTCCCTGTTTCGATAGATGTATTGAATATTGTTGTTAGGGGTACACATAGCGCTTCTGCTCCCTCAGGACCCATGGAGAGATGTTATCCGGCCCCATCGCCTTTGAGGTATCTAGTTCACTCAGAAGCCTCCTCACTTCTTCCTCGGCTGTGTGTACTGTGTCCAGCACTTGGTGGTTTGCACCACCTCTCCGTCTTTCTGGAGCCCCTTCTGTCTCCTCTGTGAACACTTTTTTAAATCTCTTGTTGAGCTCCTCACATACTTCACGGTCATTTCTTGCTGTCTCTCCTCCTTCCTTCCTTAGCCTGATTACCTGGTCCTTGACTGTTGTTTTTCTCCTGATGTGGCTGTATAACAGCTTCGGGTCAGATTTGGCTTTCGCTGCTATGTCGTTTTCATATTATCGTTGGGCCTCCCTTCTTATCTGTGCATATTCATTTCTGGCTCTACGACTTCTCTCCTTATTCTCCTGGGTCCTTTGCCTTCTATATTTCTTCCATTCCCTAGCACACTTGGTTTTGGCCTCCCTGCACCTTTAGGTGAACCATGGGCTCATCCTGGCTATTTCATTAATCCTGTTACCCTTGGGTACAAACCTCTCCTCAGCCTCCTCGTACATTGTTGCTACATATTCCATCATCTCATTTACTGGCTTCCCTGCCAGATCTCTGTCCCACTGAACCCCATTCAGTGTGTGTGTGTGTGTGTGTGTGTGTGTGTGTGTGTGTGTGTGTGTGTGTGTGTGTGTGTGTGTGTGTGTGTTGTGTGTGTGTGAAAAATGGACGTTCTTCTTAAATTATTAGAAATATTCACGCTAAAAAAAATACTGATATTTTATTGTTAAATCAACTACGGAAAATTACCTTCCCATTGCTCCTATATTCCTCTGTTACAGACATAGTTTATTGTACACTTACCTTTTAATTGTTCGTATTTCAGAGTATCATAAACATTTACCTTACAAAGGAGTGATAAGGATTACCCAACACCTTTACCGCATCACTCGTGGTGTCACTAAGACGGCGGGTTGGTAAGCCCAGAGAGGTGGTTCGAACCTCTTTCAGTTTAATGTTATTTTCGTTCATTATGAATTTTCAACATATAAACAGGTGGATTTATAGCTTAACAAACACATTAGTCATTGGGGAGCACGTGTTTTCAGGCACACATAGTCCTTGATAGTTGATCCTCATCAAGTTTTGACACTCGTGTACTGTTGGATTACATATTTGCATTAAACGTACAATATTTGTTCCTTATATAAGAATATCAAACTTTCACACACAGTCTAGTAACTTGTATGCATCAGTAGCATACAAATAGTTGGGTGAATGAAAATACAGAACCACGTTAGAGAATATATTATTACAAGGCCACTGAATAACATTGTACCTACTTCTACTGTCAGGAAAATTACAATTCTACAACTTTGAACATACTGTACAACCAACACTACATGTTCTTTCTCTTTCAAGTTTCCATTGCAATTATTCAGTCTTCTCGTGGCGTATCTTCCTGAATGTCAACATTGCTGAAATTTCTTGATGTTTCTAGTAAACGTTTTCTTCCCATCTAGTCCTATGCTTTATATGTTTTATTAGTGATAAAACCTACCAGAATTTCAATTATGTTAGCAGAGTATATAAAAATATTATATCTCAACAGGTTATGCAGAGAGCTTATCTGTGTGGCGCACAACAGTAACAACTGGAGCAATAGTACCGGTAACAAGAATACTTGTAGCAACTGGAATAAGAGTTGAGGAATAACTGGGCCAGGATGGAAGTAAAGCAAGACAGTAGAGCCAGACCACTCCAAGGTATCACACTGGTTCCTCGCTGAATGGCTGCCGGATACTCCTCTGTCAGGAACAAGCACAGGATTAGAGACTTAGATTAGTAACAACACAGAAGGAGAGAGAGAGAGAGAGAGAGAGAGAGGGAGAGAGAGAGAGAGAGAGAGAGAGAGAGAGAGAGAGAGAGAGAGAGAGAGAGAGAGAGAGAGAGAGAGAGAAGAGAGAGAGAGAGAGAGAGAGGAGAGAGGAGAGAGAGAGAGAGAGAAAAGAAGAGAGGAGAGAGAAAGGGGAGAGAAAGAGAGAGAGAGAGAGAAGAGAGAGAGAGAGAGAAGAGAGGAGAGAGAGAGAGAGAGAGAGAGAGAGAGAGAGAGAGAGAGAGAGAGAGAGAGAGAGAGAGAGAGAGAGAGAGAGAGGAGAGGAGAAGAGAGAGAGAGAGAGAGAGAGAGAGAGAGAGAGAGGACAGACGACAGACAGACAGACAGACAGACAGACAGAACAGAGAGAGGGAGAGACAGACAGACAGGCAGAGACAGACAGACAGACACACACACACACACACAGACAGACACACACACAGACACACAGACACACAGACTCACAGAGAGAACTCATTACCTAACCCTGTAAGACAGACACAAAGAGAGAAACACAGAAAGAGAGGAAGTTGAAAGAGGAAGTCAATACATACCTATGCTTAATGCGATAAACTAAAGCAAATAATTTTGCCTAAACAGATGTTACAAAAATATCATGAGTAACGCAAGTGTTTACAAGGCCTCAACGAAAATAGTTAATCCTACATATTTTCCTCATTATAAATAACGCTCTTTCAAAATAAATTGAATAGGAAAATAAGCAGCAATGAAGACATAGGTGCCCTAGCAGCAATAGAGATATAGGTGCCCTAGCAGCAATAGAGATATAGGTGCCCTAGCAGCAATGAAGATATAGGTGCCCTAGCAGCAATGAAGACGTAGGTGCCCTAGCAGCAATGAAGATATAGGTGCCCTAGCAGCAATAGAGATATAGGTGCCCTAGCAGCAATGAAGATATAGGTGCCCTAGCAGCAATGAAGACGTAGGTGCATTAGTAGCAATGAAGATATAGGTGCCCTAGCAGCAATGAAGATATAGGTGCCCTAGCAGCAATGAAGATATAGGTGCCCTAGCAGCAATGAAGACGTAGGTGCCTTAGTAGCAATGAAGATATAGGTGCCCTAGCAGCAATGAAGATATAGGTGCCCTAGCAGCAATGAAGATATAGGTGCCCTAGCAGCAATGAAGACGTAGGTGCCCTAGCAGCAATGAAGATATAGGTGCCCTAGCAGCAATGAAGATATAGGTGCCCTAGCAGCAATGAAGACGTAGGTGCCTTAGTAGCAATGAAGATATAGGTGCCCTAGCAGCAATGAAGATATAGGTGCCCTAGCAGCAATGAAGATATAGGTGCCCTAGCAGCAATGAAGACGTAGGTGCCCTAGCAGCAATGAAGATATAGGTGCCTTAGTAGCAATGAAGATATAGGTGCCCTAGCAGCAATGAAGACGTAGGTGCCTTAGTAGCAATGAAGATATAGGTGCCCTAGCAGCAATGAAGATATAGGTGCCCTAGCAGCAATAGAGATATAGGTGCCCTAGCAGCAATGAAGATATAGGTGCCCTAGCAGCAATGAAGACATAGGTGCCCTAGCAGCAATAGAGATATAGGTGCCCTAGCAGCAATAGAGATATAGGTGCCCTAGCAGAAATGAAGATATAGGTGCCCTAGCAGCAATAGAGATATAGGTGCCCTAGCAGCAATAGAGATATAGGTGCCCTAGCAGCAATAGAGATATAGGTGCCCTAGCAGCAATAGAGATATAGGTGCCCTAGCAGCAATAGAGATATAGGTGCCCTAGCAGCAATGAAGATATAGGTGCCCTAGCAGCAATGAAGATATAGGTGCCCTAGCAGCAATGAAGATATAGGTGCCCTAGCAGCAATGAAGATATAGGTGCCCTAGCAGCAATGAAGATATAGGTGCCCTAGCAGCAATAGAGATATAGGTGCCCTAGCAGCAATAGAGATATAGGTGCCCTAGCAGCAATGAAGATATAGGTGCCCTAGCAGCAATAGAGATATAGGTGCCCTGGCAGCAATAGAGATATAGGTGCCCTAGCAGCAATAGAGATATAGGTGCCCTAGCAGCAATGAAGATATAGGTGCCCTAGCAGCAATGAAGATATAGGTGCCCTAGCAGCAATGAAGATATAGGTGCCCTAGCAGCAATAGAGATATAGGTGCCCTAGCAGCAATGAAGATATAGGTGCCCTAGCAGCAATAGAGATATAGGTGCCCTAGCAGCAATGAAGATATAGGTGCCCTAGCAGCAATGAAGATATAAGTGCCCTAGCAGCAATGAAGATATAGGTGCCCTAGCAGCAATGAAGATATAGGTGCCCTAGCAGCAATGAAGATATAGGTGCCCTAGCAGCAATGAAGATATAGGTGCCCTAGCAGCAATGAAGATATAGGTGCCCTAGCAGCAATAGAGATATAGGTGCCCTAGCAGCAATGAAGATATAGGTGCCCTAGCAGCAATAGAGATATAGGTGCCCTAGCAGCAATGAAGATATAGGTGCCCTAGCAGCAATGAAGATATAAGTGCCCTAGCAGCAATGAAGATATAGGTGCCCTAGCAGCAATGAAGATATAGGTGCCCTAGCAGCAATGAAGATATAGGTGCCCTAGCAGCAATGAAGATATAGGTGCCCTAGCAGCAATGAAGATATAGGTGCCCTAGCAGCAATGAAGATATAGGTGCCCTAGCAGCAATAAAGGTATAGGTGCCCTAGCAGCAATGAAGATATAGGTGCCCTAGCAGCAATGAAGATATAAGTGCCCTAGCAGCAATGAAGATATAGGTGCCCTAGCAGCAATGAAGATATAGGTGCCCTAGCAGCAATGAAGATATAGGTGCCCTAGCAGCAATGAAGACATAGGTGCCCTAGCAGCAATGAAGATATAGGTGCCCTAGCAGCAATGAAGATATAGGTGCCCTAGCAGCAATGAAGATATAGGTGCCCTAGCAGCAATGAAGATATAGGTGCCCTAGCAGCAATGAAGATATAGGTGCCCTAGCAGCAATGAAGACATAGGTGCCCTAGCAGCAATGAAGATATAGGTGCCCTAGCAGCAATGAAGATATAGGTGCCCTAGCAGCAATGAAGATATAGGTGCCCTAGCAGCAATGAAGATATAGGTGCCCTAGCAGCAATGAAGATATAGGTGCCCTAGCAGCAATGAAGATATAGGTGCCCTAGCAGCAATGAAGATATAGGTGTCTTAGCAGCAATGAAGATATAGGTGCCCTAGCAGCAATGAAGATATAGGTGTCCTAGCACCAATGAAGATATAGGTGTCCTAGCAGCAATGAAGATATAGGTGTCCTAGCAGCAATGAAGATATAGGTGCCCTAGCAGCAATGAAGATATAGATTGTAATAAAGTTGGTAGAATTACCGACAATATGTAAAGTAAAAGGACACAAGTGCAACTAATGTGACATTTATTGTGGCAACGTTTCGCTCTCCAGGAGCTTTATCAAGCTTGATAAAGCTCCTGGAAAGCGAAACGTTGCCACAATAAATGTCACATTAGTTGCACTTGTGTCCTTTTACTTTACATTGCTGCTAGGTGCCCTAGCAGCAATGAAGATATAGTTGCCCTAGCAGCAATGAAGGTATAGGTGCCCTAGCAGCAATGAAGGTATAGGTGCCCTAGCAGCAATGAAGATATAGTTGCCCTAGCAGCAATGAAGGTATAGGTGCCCTAGCAGCAATGAAGGTATAGGTGCCCTAGCAGCAATGAAGGTATAGGTGCCCTAGCAGCAATGAAGAAGAAATAGTTGGCCCTAGCAGCAATGAAGGTATAGGTGCCCTAGCAGCAATGAAGGTATAGGTGCCCTAGCAGCAATGAAGATATAGTTGCCCTAGCAGCAATGAAGGTATAGGTGCCCTAGCAGCAATGAAGGTATAGGTGCCCTAGCAGCAATGAAGATATAGGTGCCCTAGCAGCAATGAAGATATAGGTGCCCTAGCAGCAATGAAGGTATAGGTGCCCTAGCAGCAATGAAGATATAGGTGCCCTAGCAGCAATGAAGATATAGGTGCCCTAGCAGCAATGAAGATATAGGTGCCCTAGCAGCAATGAAGATATAGGTGCCCTAGCAGCAATGAAGATATAGGTGCCCTAGCAGCAATGAAGACATAGGTGCCCTAGCAGCAATGAAGATATAGGTGCCCTAGCAGCAATGAAGATATAGGTGCCCTAGCAGCAATGAAGAATAAGGTGCCCTAGCAGCAATGAAGGTATAGGTGCCCTAGCAGCAATGAAGTATATAGGTGCCCTAGCAGCAATGAAGATATAGGTGCCCTAGCAGCAATGAAGATATAGGTGCCTAGCAGCAATGAAGATATAGGTGCCCTAGCAGCAATGAAGAATAGGTGCCCTAGCAGCAATGAAGATATAGGTGCCCTAGCAGCAATGAAGACAATAGGTGCCTAGCAGCAATGAAGACATAGGTGCCCTAGCAGCAATGAAGATATAGGTGCCCTAGCAGCAATGAAGATATAGGTGCCCTAGCAGCAATGAAGATATAGGTGCCCTAGCAGCAATGAAGACATAGGTGCCCTAGCAGCAATGAAGATATAGGTGCCCTAGCAGCAATGAAGACATAGGTGCCCTAGCAGCAATGAAGGTATAGGTGTCTTCCTATACTAGCCGTATGATCAAAAATAGCTTCCTATACTAGTCGTATGATCAACATTTTTTTTATATAGATCAGTCTTACAGGCTGAAATATCCTACCTACACTCATTTCTAAGCCCATCCCTGCTTCAGGTATACTACGACCCCTTAGGATGCGACCTACGACAATCAACTAACACCCAGGTACATACAGCAAGGTGCCGTGCCGAGTATCGAACCACGCACCATCAGTACGTGAACTGAGTGCGCAGACAACCGAAACACTGAACATGTGCAGAGTCTAATTCCTGAGAGTGAGTGCATTAGTTGAAAAGCAATTT